TCTATAAGGTCACTGTACCCGTTTATCCCTCTCGGCCAGGGTTGGCCCCCCACAGGCAGGGTCGAAGTCTGCCTCCTAAATGATCTAAACTGAGTATATGGATGCATAACACAACTATATAAAAGATAAAAGAAAAGACACAGTTCATTGATCCTCCTCTGGAAAAAAATATGGATAGTAAGATGGTTAACTATAATAACAGCGTGGCACTGTTGTATAAAAAACAGACAATAGCATTTGCGGTCTACTGTTTACGTCATGTAATGATGGCGTTCATGGTACATTTAGCCAATACCTTTGTGAAAATGTCGTTTTCTCTGAATGCATGGATACGATCGGTGTTCTGCACTCGGTTACATTAACATGTGTTTCTTAATGTTTAGCGCAAGTGTGTTCATTATCACGTCCTTGGCTTTCGTGTAATTGACAGCAGAAAAGAAGACAAATCAAAACCTGCTGGAAAAGGGAAACATGAAAAGTTCACTCATCAAGACAGTAAGGAGAAGGCAGATTAAATTTATGGGGCATGTAGCCCATACAGAAAAAGAGAGTTGGAACAACTTAATTAGACAGGGAAAAATAAAAGGGAAGAAAAGCTGAAAACGCCAAAGCACATGATTCATAACACACACAATGAACCACAACACATTCATGAGTGCTTCGAATGAAAGAGGGAAGGAGAACGAGAAACACTAAGGTCATCAATACTAGACACTTGATGATGAGTTGGATAAGAGGTGAAACTACAGCTGAGTCCTGAACCCCCGCTCCTCCCCCCCTGTCCGCTTCCGCCTCGGGTTGTAAACTTGATAAACATGAACCCACGTCCACCTACCTTACTCGGACGTCTTGGGAAGTCCTGGGTGAGTCCTTCCACGTACTGGACGGCGGGAAGGTTGAAAAGCAAGTCTGCAGTCAGGTCGTTGACCGGGGACACGTCGAAATGGTTCATGTAGAAATGTGTTACCTTGTCGAGGACCTCGTCGCTGACTTTGCCGTAGGTCAAAGCCAAGGCAAAGGTGACAGATTCACGAACGTAGTCACGGTCATAGAGCTGTGTAAAAGCAAAGTGTCGTGAAGATTTCTTATTAGTTTTGAATGTTTTTGGTCCTTATTAGTACACTTAAACAGTTCAGGCTGGTTCGACCCGGTCTGTGCTAAATTAAAGACCAAGTCATTTCATGAAATCTTGATTACTGACACATACTAACTTGGTTACTTGATTGGGCAATAGGTATCATCGCAGACGGCACAATGCCATAGCTGCTCCTCCCTCCTCTCCAGGATCTACGAAAGGGTTGACTTGATGATCATGCCACTCATCAGCAGGCTGGATATTCTTCATGCTTTTCCACGCAGGTTTCTGTCTCTCACCTACCCTCTTGAGGCACCAATTTCCCTCAGTATTTTCATTACGCGTGATGTGGAGCCTTCATTTTCACTGTGGTCTTTAACCATGCTGTTTATGCTGCCATGACTGTAGATGGATCTAATTGCATGAAGCCGCCAATCTCAGCCATTAGCACATTCACTACCGCGAACTCCTGTATGACCAGAGCTAAAATATCATACAATCTTCGTACGTCTGCTGCTTTGTATCTCCCCTCGCCAGTCTGCGTGTATCAATGTGCTTCTTCGCTTTTTCCCGGGTAATAACAGAGTCAGTGAAGAGGTTGGCAGTCTGATGTTCCTTCGCCTTGCCAATTAAGGCCTCTGTGGTGGCTTTCATTTTCATGCACATGCTGGACGTGGTTATACTGGTGTCGCCGGACTGCTCTTTCTGGATGACCACGTTTACACGAGCGCTGAAAGCCCATCCGGATTTGACCCCCACGTATTATTGATGCATCTATGAAGATGACAAAGTCGCTCTGTTCACTGTTCTCTTCTATGAACATCTCTACCTTGAAATTGGCTGCCCCCCCACCGACCACTCACGACAGTCCCGGCCTAGGGTTACTATCGAGTATACTGCCTAAGTGTGTAGGTGACGCTGACCCATTCGCTGTCCTTTCAGACGTCTCCCACTTCTAACATTTAGATAAAGTAATCGTTGTCTATTCCACGTAGTCCCTCTAAGCAGATGTTTAGGCACAGTTCTTGTCACTCTGTCATGCAGTGGTCTAGCTGGATATGATACTGTAAGTCATTACTCAAAGTTAAACTGTAACAAAGAAATAATAATATGATAAGATATTAGTTGCTATTCCTATCTCGGTAACAATGACGTCAGCGGCCGCTGTTCCCCAGCGTAGCCAATTTATGTAGGCAATTATAAACCAAACTCTAATGTTGTAGTAGACTTTAATTTAATGGGTATTACTCTTTTTTACTGCATTAAACCTGTGTTTTCGCAAAACATTACCCTGTAAAATCAGAGACGGTGTCTATCCATCGTTTCTTTTGTCCGTCTCTCTTTTCTTCCCTCCACCATATCTTAATAAACGTTTTTTAGAAGCCTATTTCATCTTGTGAATTTAACGTGCCATCTCATCTTCCTGTCCATTTTCTTGCGATGTTAACATGTCAGCTCATATTCCTTTCCATTTCCTTGTTAATGTGACACCTCATCTGCCGTCCTGTTTCCTTCACGGTTATAAGAAAAAACCTTCATGGGAGCCAATGTATTAATACGCTGGATGGTTCGGTGGGCTACTTCGTTTGCGACATATTCCATTAAAGAGATACCAAAGATGTTATGGTAGCATCACACTTACACCTCTCTCAACGCTAAAAATGTTCATCGTAATCATACTATCATTCTGTTGTTTAAATGGTTTAACTTGATAATAGCCTTCAGTAGGACAAGCTATTGTAACAACAATAACAACAACAACAACAACAACAACAACAACAACAACAACAACAACAACAACAACAACAACAGAACAACAACTGAAACAACACATCAGTAATAATAATGATACTTATCATCATTATTTTTTCTTGTTGGAGAAGTAGCCTCTACTGTCGAACAAAACGAGCAGCTTGGGGTACTAAAATGGGAACCGATTTTTCCCAATCAATTTTTACATAGTCCTTCGGGCAATTCCTTGGTTGGCCCAGCACACTGGGTGACCCTGGTTCGAATCCTCAAAGGGACATTCTTGAGCTTGGGATGTTGCAGGGGTTTAAAGGCTCTCCTTCCAATTGGGTTGGGCCAATGGTAAACGAACGTGATATTTTGGTAATCTGGTTCTCAATCACCCTCACAATGTTAAAAAGGGCATTACATTCGCCAAATGCTGCACCATACCTTTCCGTTGGCAGTATCCTGGGCGAGGGACCCTTCGTTCTGCAGCACGCTGACAAGATAGTCTCTCTCTAGCACTTGTTTAGCCTCTAAGTACTGTTTAATTTGGAAGACCTCGTAGGGCTGAAGAAAAACAACAGAGAAACCCAAACAGTTTGTTAAAAGTAACATCAAGAACGTTCTCGACACAAAGAACATCACGTGTGTAGAGGGTGTCTTTGCATAAAGAGTGAAATGGCAGGGTTTTGGGAGTAAAAGTTTGATGGAACAGAGTAGGGATCTTTCGAAGTTCCATCAATGTTCATCAGAGGAATCAGTATCTTACAGATGTTTAAAGAGTATAATACTACTAAAATGTTTACTTATGGCCACTTAGTGATGGGGGTAATTAAAGATGTTAACAGAAAATGTTCTGTCTCTCTGTCTTTGGTATGTGTTATGAATGTTACATTGGGCAGTTTAGTTACGTAATCTATGCACGTAGGTGTGGGTCCAGAAAGTCCTGAACACAATAAAGAGGAGAAAATAGAAACGACAAAAAATATTTTAAAAAACGAAACGAGCAACCTGTTAGTCTATTCATTGTGACAGTAACTCGTGTGAGGAATGTGTTTCATTTAATAAGAAGTGCTGAAACCAAGAGAGTAGTCTGCAAGCTACGCTTGGCTCATCCACTTGCGAAGTGGAGCATTTGAATGCTCAAAATGTGGCGAACTGTTCTCTGCCAGAACTGGTCTCATGTTCCATAAAAGAGGCCACAAATCATTTCAATCTTCAATTCTTCTAATTCTCCTATTTCGCTCGAGGAAAGAGTGTTTCGACGCGGTGGAATCAGGCGCTCGTCACATTTTTTTTTTTAGGGGGGGGATGCAATTATTTGGAATCGCTTTAAACTGTTTCCTTATCTTCAATTCATAAAAAAATACCCATTTATCTTGAATAGAAGTTGAGATATTTGTGATTAAAGGAGGCGGGGTCGCCTGGTATCAGAGGCAAAATCGGCGAGAAAATAGCCACCAAAATTTCGTGACCAACAAAGCTGTACTATCCTTGGAAACTTCAAATTTTCATTTTTGTACTGTGATCAACGTTTTTCAGGAACATTCACACAGAAATGTGTTTTATATGGACATAGACGGTGTTGAGACATCCCCCCCCCCGACCAATTGATAAAAATCGACCAAGGAGAGAAAAAATGCCCTTTTCTTTTGTTTCATTATCTTGACGAGCGACTGACCTCTCCACTATGTCTCACATTCTCCTCTGTGGGTGTATTTGGTCACCGTCCGACCTTGATGGACGAACTACTACTACTACTACTACTACTACTACTACTACTACTACTACTACTACTACTATTACTACTGCTACTACTATTACTACTGCTACTACTATTACTACTGCTATTACTACTGCTACTGCTTCTACTGCTACTACTACTGCTACTACTGCTACTACTACTACGGCTACTACTACTATCATCATCATCATCATCATCATTATCATCATCATCATCATCATCATCATCATCATCATCATCATCATCATCATCATTATCATCACAGAGACCGATATAAAAGCGACAAGGAGTCAGAGGACAAAGGGCTTGAACGGGTTTCAAAAGAAAGGATCGTACATTGCTTTTCGTTGGTATTGATTGTTGTGTATGGTCAAAGAGTCTACATAACAAGAGGGGCCACTTCTCTCTTTGAGCCAATTAAAAAAGGTGTCCTCAAAATTCGGTGGCGCCCTCTTCGCAAAAGAGCACCTTTTGCGAACAGCGAGTTATCCTACTTGAGTTTTAAAAAATCAAAGTGAAACTAGCAAGTTTTTGAAAGAATTTCGGAAGAACGCTTTTTTAAAATGGTTACGCTGACAAAAAACCTCTTCCGGAGGAAAGGGTGATTGTTTTCTTCGTTTAATTTGACTTTAGAATGAAAGGCGAGAGGTCATTAAAATAAAAAAAGACTAAAACTCCGCACTGAACGAACCCGAACTGCTGATGAACAGCAGTCGATCTGCGCACGCAAGGAGGTGCTATTCCTATTCTTCTTCTGGAAAAACGAAAGAGAGCTTCAAAACAGACTGCAGCGCCATCCTGCAAAGAGCGAAATTCATGCGGACACTTTTTTGGCTGAGTGGCCCATCTTGTTATTTACTATCTTTGGTATGGTTATACGGTCATCCGGACTCGTAGTCGTGACATTGCATGTATGGTGTTCGAGATTCAACATGCCCTCCCTCCCTCTCTCTCTCTCTCTCTCTCTCTCTCTCTCTCTCTCTCTCTCTCTCTCTCTCTCTCTCTCTCTCTCTCTCTCTCTCTCTCTCTTTGTTTGTTTTTTAAAAAGGCACTTTACAGGAGGAATGTTTCCCATCTGGCTGGGTCTTGTCGAGTGATGGGTGTTTAACTTCACAGATGGCAGTCGTACACAGCCATTATAATGTAGACAATACGCAAGGGAAGAAATGGGAAGTGGTTGTTTGTTCAGATGATTGTCTTATAGAAGGTAGCCATTAGAGCGGGTTGGA